CCACATCTACATCCGCATCTACGTCCGTTTTGTTCTCCTTCACTTGCACCACAGGATCCGGTACAAGTGCCTTAGTCAATGCGGCCATTTGTACCATCATAGCCTTCATCGTTTCCCATTGCTCTTGGGCAGATGGAAGTGTGTTCGGATTCTCCTTCCCATCCGTTGCACAACTGTTCTCCGGAGTTTGATGAACCGAAGACTTTTGTCCAGCCACAGGTCCGGCCGGAATTGCCCCATCAAGCGTTGCTTCGACACTTGTTTCCTTGGTAACTTGTGTCTCCTCGGCAACCAACGTCTCCTCTACGACGTCCTTACCCTTATCCTTATCCTTCTTACTCTTTCCCGTTTTGTTGCTCTTACCCATCTACGAATAACTTCAAAGTTAGTTACGGTAAGTCATAGTAATTCGCAAGAGAGTAAGAAACAACTACCGTGAGGACTCATAAGCCGATGAGTGGTGATTCCCAAAACCCGCACTAATGGTCCTAGAACCAAGCATGCTCTGATACCAACTTGAAAGACCCCGATCCGGACTGCCTAAGTCCGGAGAGGTTCTCTCCGACCAAATCATTAAGTGATCCGATCCTTAGTCAAATTTTAGGGCCATTTTCTTAAGACAATCCGTTTTACGATATTCTGAGATTCATTACTTAGAGTCAATATGCGATAATAGAGTAAACAAAGAATCGGATACTTTATTAGATACTTAAAAGGATTCGATACAACTTAAGAGTTTGCATATAAGCTATTACAAGTCATATAATCGATCCTATTCTACCCGATTCATCACCACCCATCTTCCCGGCCTTGAGTCCCTCACGCCTAAGCCAAGTCCTTCCCACGATCACCATCCTTTCCTGAAAGTCAAAGAGGCATAAGTATCCGTTTTACTTATTATATGCAAGTCCATGCAATGCTCTCTAGGCCTTTTAACCACCCGGAACGAAGAACAGATCGGAGAGTGGAAGTATGCGCATCAGTTCGGCCGATTCACGGTAGATCTTCACAGATCCGCCGATCCTCCGCCGAGCCGCATCCCCATTTCAACCGATCCGCCATTCGAACCAAGTTTATGCATGATATGAATGATTCCCCGATACTACAATATCACCCTAATCATTCCGGACTTTTTCTAAGTCATCGGAACAATCCCTAGGCTAGATCGTACGTATCAAATCTCCTTAGGTTCGGACACAAAGTCTAGAACCGTCTCACCTTCGATCGCACCGATCGTAACTCTCTCTTAAGTGTTTTCTCTCAAAATGTTCTCCGAGAGTTTCTGTATTTTTCCCTAAGTTTTTCGTGTCTGAAATCGTCCCAAATGCCTTGTATTTATAGAGTTTCGTTCAGAAACCGTTTCTCTAACCGTTCTCTAGAAGGCGCCCATTCGGTCCATAACCGCCCGTTGGTAACCGTCATCCGTAACCGCCCAACCGCTCTTCCGTAACCGCCCAACCGTCCTTCCGTAACCGTCTAACCGTCCAACCGTCGGACAGTTACCCAAGCTTAGCTGAGCTACCCGGCAGCTGGTCGAGCTAGCTGAGCTACTCGACAGTTACCCGAGCTTAGCTAAGCTACCCGGAAGTACTTCGAGCTTAGTTGAGCTATACGGGAGCTGGTTTGGCTACTTAACGTTCATTATTGTCCTTATCCGAGCTGATGGGCAGCTCCAATCTAGACTTGTCCGAGTTTCTCCTCCTTTTCTCGGACCAAGTCTCATCCGACGATCCTATTGAGGATCGCGGGCGTTACAAGGTCCAACGTCTGACAGGCCGAATCGCCGCGTTGAACTGATTTATAGCAAGATCCACGGACAAATACCTACCGTTCTACAACCTGTTAAAACGAAGAGAAAGGTTTGGATGGGACGAGGCGAGTGAGAAGGCTTTTGCCAAACTCAAGAGATATCTTACGACCCCCCCGGTCCTAGCCAAACCAGAAGGCGGCGAAACACTTTTTCTCTATATCGCAGTTTCCAGCTCGGTAGTCAGTGGCGTGCTTATCAGAGATGACCGCGGCGATCAGAAACCGATTTTTTACATTAGCAAATCTCTAATAGAAGCCGAGACACGTTACCCCACCATGGAAAAAGTGGCTCTGGCTGTCGTAACATCAGCAAGAAAATTAAGGCCTTATTTCCAGTCTCATGCAATTGCCGTCCTGACAGACCAACCGCTACGCACCGCCCTCCATAGCCCGAGCCAATCCGGAAGAATGGCGAAATGGGCAGTCGAACTCAGCGAGTACGATATCGATTACAGATCGCGCCCCGCGATGAAGTCCCAGGTTCTCGAAGACTTCCTTGTCGAACTGCCACCCGCCGCCTCCAGCAGCGACACTTGCACCAAAGATGACCCATGGACAATATACGCGGACGGCTCGTCTTCCTCGCATGGGTCCGCAGTCGGAATTCGGCTCGTCTCGCCAACAGGTGAGATACTAGAACAGTCCTTTCGCCTCCGATTTAACGCAACAAACAACGCGGCAGAGTACGAAGCGCTAATCGCCGGTCTCCGCCTCGCTAGCGGAATGAAGATAAAATGGGTCCGAGCCTACGTCGACTCGCAACTCGTCGTTAGTCAGTTCGCAGGAGAATACGAAACCAAAAGCGACACCATGGGCTCCTACCTCAAAATCGTCAAGCAACTTTCACAACAGTTCGAAAGCTTCGAGCTCAACAAGATTCCACGTGGGGATAATGCACCAGCGGATGCTCTGGCCGCGCTCGCATCAACGTCAGATCCCATCCTACGTCGGATTATCCCAGTCGAAAGCATCGACCAGCCAAGTATCGACCCGATCGACACGGTTAACTTTGTCGCAGCTTACTCCGACCCCGACCGTACAGATCCGACCGATTGGAGAGTTGAAATACGCGATTTTCTCGCGGATGGGACGATCTCGACAGACAAGTGGGCAGCGCGTCGCTTACGCATAAAGGCAACTAAATACACGCTAATGGAGAATCTCATCCTAAAGCTTAGTGCAACAGGAGCCTGGCTAAGCTGTCTACACAGCAAAGACGCCGTCGAAATTATGAAGGAAACACACATGGGAGCCGGGGGCAGCCACTCTGGAGGACGAGCTCTGGCCCTCCAGATCAAAAAGTTAGGCTTCTATTGGCCGACCATGATATCCGATTGCAAAGATTTCACGGCCAAATGCGAACAATGCCAGCGACACGCACCCACAATACATCAGCCAACAGAACAATTGAAAGTAGGTATCTCGCCATATCCATTCATGCGATGGTCCATGGATATCATCGGACCATTGCCGGCTTCTAGGCAAAAGCGATTCATGCTCATAATGACGGACTACTTTACAAAGTGGGTAGAAGCCGAATCTTACGCAACAATTCGTGCGAACGACGTACAAAATTTCGTATGGAAATTCGTCATCTGCAGGCACGGGTTACCATATGAGATCGTCACCGACAACGGCTCGCAGTTCATTTCACTGACTTTCGAGAATTTCTGCGCAAGTTGGAAAATCCGTCTTAACAAGTCAATGCCCCGATACCCTCAAAGCAACGGGCAAGCCGAGGCAACGAACAAAACAATCCTCGCCAGACTCAAGAAACGACTAGACGAAAAGAAAAGCACCTGGGCCGACGAACTCGACGGAGTGCTTTGGTCATATCGGACGACACCTCGCAGCGCAACCGAACAAACCCCGTTCGCACTAGCCTACGGAGTGGAAGCGATGGCACCCGCCGAAGTCGGCTATACCAGCCTCAGACGATCCCTGATGGTCAAAAACCCTGACTTAAACAACCAGAGAATGCTCGAATGTCTCGACGACCTCGAGGAGACGCGCAACAAAGCTCTCTGCCGATTTGAAAACTACCAGCGTGCCGCGGCAAAATATTACAACAAGAAGGTACATAACCGACACTTCGACGTCGGCGATCTCGTACTCCGAAAGGTCTTCGAAAATACGGCCGAACTCAACGCTGGCAAACTAGGCGCCAATTGGGAAGGTCCCTACCAAATTTCAAGAATCGTGCGACCTGGAGACTACGAACTGCTCACAATGGACGGCACAGAAGTACCGCGCACATGGAACTCTATGCATCTTAAGCGTTTCTACTACTAACGAGCCTAATGCTCTTCAAAAAAAAAAAAAAAAAAAAAGAAAAGGTAGCTCGGCCTTACCGATGCCTCTCTATGTAAAGCGAACTACGATCGGCTTGATCCCTCCGATCAGAGGGTACGTACGCAGCCCCGTTTACGGGGCGCAGCTGCAATATTAATAATATTTATATTTTTTATATCTAAGTATAAAAACGAATCGAAAAAGTACATCGACGCCCTGGCCCGGTATTCGATCGAATACGTTCAACCGAGAATGCACACCCTTGCTTAAGTCTGCCAAAATCGGTAAAACGATCTTGGATAAAACCTACACTTAAGGGTTTGAAAGCCGAGCCCTGCACTCGCACCGTTTTGACGAGCAGATAACATAAGCCAAGGCCAAACTTGTATTTCTGTAATCGCCAAAACCAAAACAGGATAAGCCGATCAGCGCGCGTCGCACCTCACCATGTCTCGAGTCCGTCTCGAATAATCTAATAATCAAAAGCCGAAGTCTAACTTCGCAAAATCAAAAGCCGAAGTCTAACTTCGCAAAATCAAAAGCCGAAGTCTAACTTCGCAAAATCAAAAGCCAAAGTCTAACTTCGCAAAATCAAAAGCCGAAGTCTAACTTCGCAAAATCAAAAGCCGAAGTCTAACTTTGCACTTTAATTACACCCTTAACCTGCAAGGATTAAAATTCGATCCCGCACGAACTAAACGACAATCGAACAAATCAAAAACGTATAAAAAAAAAAAAAATCATCTGAAACAAAGCCATCAGCTGTGGCAACCATTAAAGCCGAATAAACGGCGAACGAGTTCAAGACAAAACAAAAGGCCAACATAAGCGGCAGAAAAGTTTTTAGAATAATAAAACCGACGCAGCGGCTGGGTTAAAAGAAAGGAGCCGCGCACCCATCATCCGACAATGTCAACTTCCTCCTCCTGTTGACCCTCTTGAACAGCAGCAACCTCAACCCCTTGATTTTGAATAACCCCCGCTTGCAGTGTAGACGCTACACCAGCAGGCTGGTCCACCGTCTGATCGTTGCCCCGATCACCATCTCCCTCCTGCTCACTTGGGTCCGAGGCCTGAAAACTTGGAGGAGTGACAGGCGGGACGTCGAATAAAGTACGCACGTCAAAGTCACCATCCATGAGATCGGTGATGTTGAAAGCCCTAACAGAAGTCTCAAGCTCGGCAACAGCAGTTACTAGCTGAGACATTACAGACGGGGACTTGATGACGATCTCGCCGCTCTCCTCAAGCGCCCTCAGCAGACAAACGTTCCCTAACGCATGGTTGTACTCCAGAAGCTTGGGCTGCACAGCGCTCGTATCCTCGACATGAGCCCTGATTCGGGTCAAGCGAGTATCAACGAGCTGCGCTAGCTTAGCCAAGCCACGACTCCGAAGGTAATGACCATACTCCTCCCTTCGCTCTCGGAGTCTCTTCTTCTCAGCCCGGACGTAGGAGACCAAGTCATTATACTGGCCCTTGACGCTCTCCACCTCAGCAATAAGACGATCGCGATCTTCAGTAAGGCACGTGCGGTGATGAGTAACTTTGGCAACCTCGCGCTGGAGACTTCCGATCTGGTCCTTAGCTGTCACCAGCTCCTGAGCTACGCGCTCGGACTTCTCCCTCTCCGCGGCAAGGGCCGCCTCGTAATCACCAGAGTAGGGATGATCAGCAGGCAGTCTTCGAAGTCGGCGTTCATACAAGTGAACCAAACGGTTCATCGCCGAAGTCGCCTAAATAAACGAATACGAGCTCTTGTAAAACCCCAGATAAATAGGTAAAACATGAAAGAAAAGGACCATTATGCGCACCTCACAGGAGCGACGAGCCGCCTCGGTATAGGCCTCCCTCTCCTTGAGATCTTCGATCAAGGGAAAAGTCCCCGGACCATGACCGACCTCGCGGAAGAGCTCCGCACAGGCTAAGGCGTTAGACGTAAAGGGCACATACCGCTCAACGTACCGATATGACCAACGATGATCAGCGACCCGAGATCGTTTCGCACCAGGAGTCGAACGATCCTCTCCGGCACTCGCCGCCCTCTTCCGACCAACAGGAGTCAAGTCCGAAGGAACGACCAGCGTACCAGGTCCCGTTGTCATCGGAGCGACCGCCTGCGAACCAACCAGTGCAGGAGGGGGTACCTGAAGGGCCTCAGTAGCCTGAGAAGCAAGGCGCGCAGCCGCTGCCTCCCTCTTCTTCTCTTTCTCAGACCGAGGACTTAGCGGCCTGGAACTCCCTGCGGCATGGGTATGACGCCCTCCTCGATCCAAAAGGCTCCTCCGACGAGCTTCCTCGATCTGTTCACCCTCTGAGTTGGACAGCTTTTCAGGTTTGCGAGCCGGCCTCTTATCAAATTTCTTCGACAGATCAGGAATGACAGTAAGATCCACCTTGCCCATCGCTACCAAAGAAACGAACCGGAATAAGGAAAACGATCCCAAAAAATGAGTTCGGAATATGAAAGAGTACCTAATTGGGAGGGACGGGTTCGTCTAGCAGGTGCACGGCGAGGCTGATTTGATCTTCGCGGGCGACGACAAGAAACCTTTTTGGTAACGGGCCAGACGTATGGTCCAACTGCTCGAATCTTCACAATATCCACGTGAAGTTGCTCCGGGTACGAATTCAAAAACTTTGGATAATGTTCTGCAAAAAGCAGAAAATAAAATTAATAAAAATATCGACGCGACCTCGGTAGTTGGTAAAAATTGACCGGCTCGCGCTACCGGGTGAAAGTTTCCACTCCGTATAATTCGGAAGTCGAGGATCCTCAACGGAATCCCGTGATATCTTGACGAAGAAGTAATGCGCCGACCAGGCATTGGTTTTGCTCTTTGCCTCCTCAACCAACTTCGGAGTTCCGGAGGACTGAACGTAAAACAAACCCGGCTTCTTCTTCCCGAAACTTTTGAATTGGGTCGTCTCTTCGTAATGGGCACAAGTGACCTTCACTCCACACCGAAGCCCAAGACGAAGAAGACTGATCCCATTCCGGATCGCTGCAACCGACAATTGCGAGAAGGCCATTTTACGGTTTGACGCATACTCGAGCAGGAACTTCGGAAGCGGGAAAAAGAGGCCGCACTCAGTAAAGAACTTCTCGTACACACAGATATAACCCTCCGGAGCGGTCCATGGTCTCTCAAAAGTATCTGGAACCCAAGCCTCAATTAGAGATGACGCGCCGACCGCCAGAAGAGTATCCCTCATAGTGATCGACGTCGTCAAAGTCGGACCGAAATAATCAGGCACGAAAGGAGCCGGTCCCGCCACACCATAAGGCATAGGCTCCGGCTCGTCGTATAGCTCCAGTTCATCTGGCTTGACCTCCCAAACATCCTCGTCTTCTAAACGAGGGATGACGAACTCAGTCCGCATCGAGCTCATCCTAACAGCATCCCTCTGAGAAGACGAGTCGCGACGTCGGAGTTCGGAGGCGGCCGCTCGAGAATCGGCCGTAGAAGAAAACGGCGAAGTCGGGATGCCCCGCGTCTCGTCATCTAGAGACTCGACCAAGAACCGGTCAGCATTAAGCGAGCGGGTCGTAGAACCATCAGAAGTATGGGAGCGAAAGTAGTCAGAAACCGAGTCAAAACTCATACCGGAAGACATCGTAATCAGAAAAGAGCTAGTAAACGACGAGCTAAAAGCTAGAGAGAAGGGAGAGAAGAGAGAGGGAGTATACCTTCGCGGATGGAGAGAAATGAATAGAGAGCAGCGGAAGCCCCTCTATTTATAGGAGAAGGGGGCGGTTCGATTAAGGGTAACAATTAGGTCTACGAAGCGACATAATCATTACCCTAACTCCTGACACGCGCGACGCTTCGATCTCTTCGCATCGAAAACGCCAGCCGACGACTCACAAGCGAGCGTTCCTCCCACGCGCACCTCGGAACTCAGCGACCAGACGATCCGTATTCCGCGACCTCCCACGCTTCAATCAAAGCCCAGAAACAAACCCGACCCATGAAATAGTGGGCCAGGATTGGGGGGCAACTGTTAAGGGAGAAAATGGGCCTTCAGCCCATTTGCCAGTAAAAGCCCGAAAGTATAAACGAAACCTTCTGGAAGGCCCGAGGAAAGGTGTCCGGCCCGGCCCAATCGCAATCACCGCCATCACTATGCCACGTAGGCGCACGGAGGGGTAAAATCGTGAAGATACGTCCCGGGATGCCCTACACTGTTCACTATAAATAGGGGATGTGGAGTCCTGTCACATCCATCCAATTTTTCCGCTGACACGCAGAGAGTACACTTAGGTCATCACAAGGTCTTCAGCTCGCTCCGCCAACAAAGATCCCATCTCGCGCTACTCTCAGATCGCTCGACCAAAGGATCCGACCCGAACTTACCTCAGTCCGTCGCTTGTACTTAGATCGTCATCTGTAACCCTTAATACAATATCAATTGAGCTCGTCCTATTAAGAAGATTCTCTTTACTTCCTTTGAGACCCAAACTTCCGTACTAGTGTGATTTCGTGCACCAACAATATGTATGTGATATAAATAATTGAGATAAATACTATAAAAAATGTAATCAAAATAACATGATTTATATTGAAAACAAGACGATAGAAAGAGGGTTTTTAGAGTCGAGACAAAAGTCTATTTCTTTGATTCAATAATTGTCATATAGTGTGACAGTTTAGATAGTGATTTTAATCCCAAGATATAACTACATGGTTATCCTGTCTAGCACCTCCCAAAATCATAAACTGGTGAACATGATATGTAGCTAGAAATGAGCAATTTTCTGCTAGGAAAAACAAGTCTAGTATTGAGGAGCTTATATGAAAAAATATAAAACCTCGTGGTCTTGCCTTTTTAGCGAGACAATCAACACAGACATTGTTTCAATGTGAAATAGAAGTCAAAGAAAAGGGAGAAAAACCTAGTTTTGAAATACTGAAATATTCAAACTCCGAAGCAAACGCAGACCACTCATCAGGACCTGAGTCAACTCATTGCAATATGTCTAAAAAGCAACATTAGTAATTAATAAGGAAATGAGGGATCACATCGCCCATAGAAGAACTTCAAATTCTCTGTGAAGGAGGGATAAACATTGGCGAAATCTCTTTAGTGCAAGATTAGAGAAATGGCTAATAGAGCCAACAATCCATAAAATTCGGCATACGGAGGCTGAATCTGCCCAAGATTTGTCAACCTGGCAAATTAGAGTTTCAGAGTCGAGAGATCTTACTCCTAAATTGGTGTGAACCGGTTGAAGAAGCAAGGATCAATTCCCGGGCTCTTGCCACCCGGAAGGACTCTGCTTTTTTGCAAGCGAGTTGGATCGTATATGCAGGATGGAAATTATTGTGCTCAAAAACTTTTGAGTTGTGTGCCTTCCAGATAAACCACATGATCTAGGAAAAATCCCTAATTGTCTCTTCTCTTCCGCCTAGCTCCTTCACTCTCTCGTATATAGGATCTAAATTTGCAAAAAGCGAGGAAACAGGGAAGACGCCTGAAATAAAAGGAATATGGGATAGAGACCAAACCTGAAAGGCTGGGGGCATTCAAATAACATTTGATCAATAGTCTCATCACACATCCCACACCGGGATATGTAGCACTCTTAAATAAATAAAAAAACATAAGAGACATGCAAATATATAGGATTTAGATTTTAGGGCTTTAGTTTATGACGAATATAGAATGAGAGGACGAAGAGACTTATCACGAAAATCATGGAGTTATGGGAATATTCTGCATTATATCTGTTATTTTCGAAAGAGGAGTTGATTTTAGTTTGAGTCATTCAAATGCAAAAGATTCAAAATAATTTGGTCGAAAAAGATATATTACTGGATTGAAATGCAAAAGATTCAAAAGCATCTGGTCAAAAAAGATAGATTATTGAGCCAAAGTATATTGAGCCAAATGCAAAAGATTAGAAAGCATCTACCGAACCCAAGTTCAAAACTAGTTTCCGCTTGGTATATGTGCGTAGGTGGTTTTGATTGGATGGGCCTTCTCTGATATCAATAACCCAAGGCTTTTTAGTAGATACTAGATTTCTTTTTTCTATGTTTCTAATAGGAGACAAATGGTATTATCCATTTTTTTTTTGGAACAATCAACTTTAGACATTTTAAGTTTGGATAGTGATTATTGATTATGTTTGGAACATGGTTATTATATTTCTAGTACGTAGAGTTGATCTCCTCACAGAGTAAACTTGTTTAACTCACTTTTTCCTCCTTTTTCTCCAGTATAGTAAGACAATGTACAATGCAAAAACTTATTCAACACCCTCCACCTCAACTTTTAACACTCCACATCAACTTAAGGAGGTGGTTGAGATGAATATGGAATCATGGATCCATAATATGGATTATAGTTTGGAACAAATGAGGGCATAGAAAAATTTGGTGGAAAACCATAATTTGGGACATTTTGAGATTGGTTGAAAGATGGATTTTGAAATTGATAATTGTTGGGATTTGGATTGGGAAAAGGGTAACTAGTAGAATTTTGCGTAGGATTATTGTTGGAATTTGGATAGGGAAAAGGAAAATTAGTAGAATTTTGCATAGGATTATTATTAGAATCCATTTCAAAAAAAAATTAAGGATATAACCAAGAGTTTATGGGAGAAGAATAAGAAAATTATGGTAGAAATTGTGTGTTTTTTTTATGTGTCCAAATGAAATGAACCAAGTCTCTATTTATAGAGTTTAAAAAGTTATAAATTTTCATATAAATATATATATTTTTTTAAAGTTCGTTTGGTATGTAATAATTGATTGTAAATAGATAATATGAAATACAAATCTCCAAAATCTCAATATTCAATGAAAATATAGCAAGTGTCAACATCTCAATAATTTTTTTCTTTTTTCGAAAAATAAAATAAAAAAGGTTTTAGAGAGTACACTCTCCTTTCTCCGAGTTTGAAACACACCTCCCACTCACTTACTTATTGACACGTGGCATGCACGGACCCAAAAAATTTATTTTCAACATGTTGAATCCACGTAAGGTTTTTAAATTATTCAACAGATGCAATGTGGAGATTCAACAGTTGAATAAATAATTCAACACCTGCATTGTAGATAGTCTAAGTCTCAAGAGTTGTGGTTTAAAGTTTGTTCGTTAGTGATTTTTTTAAAAAGAAACGTTTTGGCAAAACCGGATGAATAACACATTGTCCTATCCTGTGTGGCGGGGCAATGTGTTATTCATCCGTGGAAATGATTGTCAGTACACTGTGATCGATTGGACAAATCACGGGGAAATATCACTTGGAAATTTGAAAGATCAGTAAACAAGCTTTTAAATACTCCGAAAGTAACGAACCTTTTGTCTGATAAGGATAGGCCCACGGGTCGAGATAGGACTAATTGATAGGTGGTATAAAAGTCGAACCCAATCGAGCGTGGAGTCAAGATGACTCACACTTTGGGGATGATGGTCTTAAGATGCAACGAGGACGTCACGATCTATTAGTGGGGGTGATTGTAATACCTCTCGATTTCAAAAATTATGATGGAACATGAGAAGAGGTTAAAATAATTGATTTGGCCATAAAAGAACACTTATCTTTTCGGTCAACCATCCTGAGAGAACTCCACATTTAACTTTGTATTGGAGCGATTTCAGGATGGATGGCCTACCTGGAAATGATTATCGGTATCGTATGAGTGAGGAAATAATACGGAAAAAAATCATGTGGTGTTTTGTAAGATCGGTAAATGATTTTTAAAGTTATGGAGGTAATTAACTGGCCGTCAGAAAAAAGAAGGACCCATGGGCCGAGAGAGGACGTAGGACCTATGAAAGGTGGTAGTTGAAACGTTACATGAATGATGGAGAACTTTGCTGCCTTTTATTAGAAGGACATCTTCCTTCAAACCCTTTTCTTTAAAATATCCGATTTGGTTTTGGACCGCTTCTGGCTAAGAGCCAAAACTTGACCATCACTAGTATCTTGGCAAGATGCTCTTCTTCCAATCACGTTTCTATTGTTAACTTGAGCGTTAAAGAGTCTTCGGGAAGACACACACTATTTTGTATTCTCGAGGGTCTCTTGACCATGTTAATAATGTATGTATATATATATATAGTTTGGAAGCTCAAAAGTAACTAGTACAATGACAGGAGGATGATCCAAAAATATGAAGCACATGTTCGCTCTCAGTAGACAAGAATTACGCCTTGTGCTCTTCAGTTGTTCCCAACATACGAAATTTCATAGTGACAAACAAATTCAACTGTCCGAAAGGATCTAGATTTATCGTCAAGACAATTTCTATTTATGTTAGGATATGTGAAAATAATTGTTTTTGGAGTTGTATTAAGAAATCAAGTTTCCCCTAGGTGTGTTTCCAATGAATTTATTTATCAAATCAAACTTTTCTTTGTATAGTTTTTTTTTTTTTTAAATTAGGAGTTGATTGGTGTGTAAATTGTGGGATTGTATTTAGTTGTGCTGCTTGAAAGCCTTTTTCACCCAATCAAATTTTTTGGACTTTTTAAATTTTTAATACTAAGTCTTAAAAATTGAAAATGCTTTATTTCTCTTTGTTTTTTTTTTCCTGTTATATTCTTAAAATCATTAAAAAAAAACTTTTGAATTGATTGCTAAAGACTTTAAAGGGGTTTACATTAAAAATTGTTTTAGAGAATTTAACTTTACATTAATAGGTGTGACTTATAAATTTAAATTCTTATTTTGTTGGATATAAAGAAATAAAGATGATGTGAACAAAAAAAAAAGTTAGATAGTTCGAATTTTACTACTTTAGCAATAAAAAAGTCCTAAGAGTCATATTTGGTAAAAATCCAGTCAAAGATATACATTTATGAATTGTCACAATTAACACGCAAATAACCCCTTAGTTTAAACTTTTCTTTGAAAGATTATTAATTGCAGTTAGTGAGAATTTATTTTACAATTTATCAATCCCTCTCTCGTCATCTACATATAGAGTCAATCTTTCTCGGAAAAATTAGGGTAGTAAGTAGTCATGGATAAACATGATTTACACTCTATTTCTAAAAAAAGGCGGATAAATGATGTGGTAACCGAAGATATCCCAAATCTCAAAGGTGAGCGAGGTTCTAAGGTTGTCGAATCCACCTTTCAGACAACAAAATGTGCGGACAATATAGTCTACAAATTATACTTCAAGGGTTTGGTGAGTGATGAAACGTCGTCAGACAAAGAAATGATTGTGAAGGTTGGATTTAGGGTCGCAATATACGACGAGACGGATAACTTATTCCATGGAATAAATAAATCACTTAATGACGCCGTGATTAACCGTAAAGAAGCAGATATTCTAGCACTGATTACTGGATTAGATGAATCAATTCATTGTGGGATTAAAAATGTCGTGATTTGTTGCGATGACTGTCAAATTTACCAAATCGTAAGTTTTTATTTTCTTCGCTATTTTTTTAGTTAATTTTATTAAACCATGTGGTGATACTTTGACTTAGATAATGCAAAAGATATTTTTTTTTGAATTTGAGTAGTGTTGTGATAGTAATAATGATGTGGTGCAAAATAGAAATGGCCTCGAATTTTATTTAGATATTGAATTTTTTTTCTGGTACAATTTGAATTCTCATTGGACTTTTTACCATTTTTTGTTTGTACCGGTAACTTTCCTATCACCTCCAAACCCTTGTCCACCACTAATTTTTTTGTCGTCAAATGCCAATTGGTGTCATTAGTATTATTCTTAGTCATTGCATTTGGAAATTGGTAGTGTTAATTGGAAGTTGTAGTCCCAAACAATTGATCGTAATGAGAAATAGATGGGTTTATTAACTAATGCTTGGCTTGACTCTGAACTTTGACTGCAGATAATCGGTAGAGAGAAGCCTCAGCAGAAGATTGTTCATCTTTTGGAAGAAGTCCAACGCCTTAGAGAGAAACTAGCCTCTACTGGAACTGTTGTGGTTGCGCGAGATGATGTTAACTTTGCTCTTAGACTTGCAATAGACGCACTGGTTTCTGAAAGCAGCAGTAGTAGTGATGATGGAGAAAAAACTTGTGCCATTTGTATTGAAGAAACCGATGCTGAGCACATGTTCTTTACCGACAAATGCCTTCACCGTCATTGCTTTTCTTGCGTGAATAAGAATGTGGAAGTGAAACTGCTTAGCAGAACAGTGCCCACATGCCTTGAATCTGGATGCAAATCTGAGCTCACTCTTGAAAGTTGTAGCCAGGTTTTGACACCAAAGCTGATTGAGATGTGGAAACGTAAGATGAAAGAAGACTTAATTCCCCATGCAGAGAAAATCTATTGCCCATATCCACGCTGCTCAGTGTTGATGTCCAAAACCGAGCTTTCAAGTGAAGCCGAACAATCCAATGTCCGGGCATGTATCAAATGCTATGGACTCTTCTGCATTGACTGCAAAGTACCATCGCATTCTGATTTGTCCTGTGCTGAGTACAAGAGACTTCACCCTGAACCTCCATTTGATGACATGGAGCTTAAGTGTCTGGCAAACGATCAAATGTGGCGTCAATGTACCGAGTGTAAGCACATGATTGAACTTTCTGATGGTTGCAACCACATTACCTGCAGGTAAATATATTGAATTCGATTAAGCTACTTCATATGAATAGCTTTATTTCACAATGTATGTGTGTTCATTGTGTAGATGTGGATATGAGTTTTGCTACAGATGTGGGCACGGGTGGACTAAGTACCAATGTCCTTCCGGTTGCCCGCTTATGGGCGATGATGGAGATGAAGCTGAATATGATTTTGATGATGATAATGAGGAGGACGACAATGATGACGATGAAGATGAAGCTGAATATGATTTTGATAATGATGATGAAGAGGAGGACGACAATGATGAAGATGAAATTGATTTTGATGACTATGATGATGAAGATGAAGCTGAATATGATTTTGATGATGATTATGAAGACGATGATGATGAAGATTATGAAGAGGATGACGATGACGATGATGGTGGCTCAACATACAGCTTCGAAGAGCTTTGAAGAGAGATTTTGTGAATCATCGAGTCCAATATATGTTGTCCCAAAGAGATTGAAATATGTCAAATGAGCAGAGAGATAAGAGCAGATAAACTCCCAAACAATTTTTAGTTTTAAATTATTTTTGTAATGTTCTATATTATTATTATTTAAGTTTAATACAGTTTGAAGGTAATTTACATATATTGATCCTAAGCCAGTTTATAGTGCAGTAATCGACAACGAAAAACAGAGTCGGGTACGCAGATATATCATAACCAAACTATTAAACCTTTGAAGGTAGATTATAAGTGAACATACAGATTAGTATATAACAAACCTTTCTCTTATGAATTTTGCCAACAGCCCTCTCTCTTCTGAAATCTGCTTTAACCTACATGTTCAGTACAGAGGATACACTTAGCATTTTGTTACAATCGAAACGACAAACCAGACGAAGCAATGAGATCTCTGAGACATACAAACCATAAATGCAGACCTTATCCTCTCATGAATCATTCTTGGTTATGTATGGACCTCCTCAAAGCATCAAACCAGAGATATAACACAATGTAATTGAAGCCTGATTAAGGTAAAAATGTTATCCAATCTCTCAAGCTATGTACAGGTCGAGTAACGCGATAAAAAACTTTGGTCTCCCCGCCATGATGTTTCAGACTGGTTCTGTTTAGGTGCTTTTTTGCCTCAACGTCTTGTTAGGTTAAGCAAAGTCTTCCATTGTTGACACGGTTAGATGACAACTGACAAGTTCTTATCGAATTATCCAACTTCGGCCACAAATCTTTTTAATACCATTCTCGTTCATTTTGTCCCTAAGATGAGCAAGATCCGCCCACCGGTCTAAAGCTGCATATATATTTGACAGAAGCACGTAACTACCGGCACTTTGTGGTTCAAGCTCAAAGAGTTGCCTTGCAACTACCTCTGCTATCTCAGTATTCCCATGTAGACTACAACCACCCAAAAGCGAACCCCAAGCACTAGCATGAGCTTCAAAGGGCATGGATTTGATAAGCTCATAAGCCTCTTTAAGCTTTCCTGTCCGACTAAGAAGATTCACAATGCATGAATAATGATCAGGAGATGCCAAAATTGAATACTCCTTTCGCATTAACTCGAAATACCTTAAGCCCTCCTCAACAAGCCTGGACTGGCTACAAACTTTCAATATTACTGTGAAGGCAACTTCATCGGGAACAATACCTTCGTCTACCATTTTCTCAAACAGTCGAACAGCTTCACTTCCACACCCATGAATAGCCATTCCTTCCATCATCGAACAATATGAAACAAGATCTCGCTGAGGCATCTCTTCAAACAACTTAGCTGCTCTGTCCATGTGGCCACACTTGGCATTCATGTCTATCAAAGCAGGTATAACATAATGACTAGAAAATTTATTCATGCTTTGGTGCAGATAAGAATCAACCTTTTCACATAATTCAAAACAACCCATCTGAGAACAAGCTGACATCAAACCCACCATTATAAACTCATCAGGTTTAACATTCTTCGCACACATTTCGCTAAAAACCTTAAAGGCCTCATTCGGCTGACCGTTCTGTGCATAACCCAATATTAAAGCTGACCATGCCCTAACATCAACACCCCTAGCATTCTCAAACAAATCCCTCGCAGAAACCATATCACCACCTTTAGCATATCCATCAATCATAGAAGTATACGAAATAATATCTCTCTTAGGCATTTCATCAAACAACTTCCTAGCATTAACCAAATCTCCCGATTTCACCAACCCATCAACCAAAGCATTCCAAGTTCCCAAATTACGCTCAGGCATAAGATCAAACATCCTCTTCGCTTCCTCCAACTCCCCAGATTTCACATACGCAACAATCAAAGCCGTCCAAGAAACAACATTTCTCTCAGGCATTTCACCAAACACCTTACGTGCACTACACAAATCCTTACATTTACCATAAAAATCAACAAAACTTGTACCCAAAACAACATCTTTATCAAACCCAATTCTCAAAACCAACCCATGAACCGTTGAACCAACACGAAACTCTGCATTATTAGAACAAACTTTCATAACCAAAGGAAAAGTATACTCATCAGGTCTCGCAAAACCTGTTCTCATCATACGCATTAGAAGCGAAACCGTCTCAAAGAAGAGAAACTTATTCGAGTACCCTTTGATCAAATGATTCCAAAGATACGTTCCAGGGTAAGGAACACGTTCAAAAACAGAGGAAGAGTAAGAGAGAGATGAAGAAGACGAAGAGATAAAGATTGAGATAAGATTCTGGTCTTGTTCAAGACCTTTGCGGATGATTCGGGCATGGATTTGATTAAGATGAATCTCAGATTTGCAGAGCTTTAAGAGTGTTTCGAGTGAGAGCAAAGAAGGATGAGATAATCTCTGGATCATTCGGGATCAAATGTGGCTACGAGGAAACATATGTATGTGTGTAAATGTGTATGCTTTTGTCATAACATGAATATTGGTGGATTCGAATTTGTTAAAGGTTTCTATGAGAAGATGAAACCTTGGAGGAGAAGGGTTTAAGGGTTTATAGATGGCAGCTTGAGGTTTTATTGGCATTTAAAAGAAAACAAAATCAATTTAAATCCGATTGTTAATTTTTTAGGAGGGGACAATATCCATTTCTCGGTTTGAAATTTTTGGTTATCGAGGGTTTTTAGCATGAATCAATTACCATTCGGTTTAGTTTGGTATAATATTTTATGGCATTTTAAATTTTTTTTTATTATATAGCCTATATATGAAATAGAAAAAGACTAGAGAAAATCTCTTTTGGTTTATTCTTGTTGATGAAGTTTTGGGCCATGTGTGTCTTGGATTTCCCCTCGCCGGATCTCCTACTAAAGTCAGTAACAACACACAAAAAGCAGAGTGAATATTTCCGGTGTAAAAGCGTCAGTTCTCTCTCGGTTTTTCATCCTATAGTCCCAAAAGGAAAACATGATTAATATTCGACAATTTGATCTCTATATAAACCTTTATTCGATCCGAGATTATATGGTTTCCTTCACAAGCTTTAGCCTGTCTTTTGTGAACGAAGATCGATTTCAGTACGCCTAATTTCTTCCTTGAGCTCTGGTAAAGAAATAGGACTTGCCTTTGAGTTAAGCGTTGTCTCTTTGTTTGCTAATAAAGCTGAGAGATGCTTAAGACACGAAAGGTATTCAGACTTTACTTCAAAAGAATCTTGCAGCTGAGTTCCATAACCAAACTGCACATAAGAAAGGGAAGGAAAAACACGGAATCAGTGTCCAACAGTTTCTTTGCCCGCTCTATCAAAATCCTTTTTTGTTAGTGACGGATTCTTTGGGGCAGCAAAAGAACAAGGAGATACTAGATTCTAATGAAAGCTGCGATAAAGAAGTAATCTTTAATTAGTTAATTAGTTAGTTAAGAGTGAAAGATTATTATAAATAGTAGATCATCCAGAGTTTTGTTGGGGATTCTCTCGAATAATCTCAAGGTTTTAGGTTCATAAAACAGATTCATATTTGGAGAAGCTATTACTTGTTTACCTCTTTGTAAGCTGTAACACATTGGAGAAGTGAATCTTCAGCTGCATGCAGATTTTCTTCCTGGAATGTCAAGAATCAACAGGTTTGTTCTTTAGCGTAAAGCATCAATACGAAGTCAAGTCAGTGTTCATCATCGAGTCAAGTACATAGAACCTGACGAAATGAGCAGAAAGTTTGTGTCTACATCTATATAAATTACATTTGACGGCAATGAACTCTCGCATTGAAGGACTAACCTTTGGCTCCTGGATCTCATTTTTGCTCATCTCCAAAGCTGCAAGACTCTCAAGAGATTGCAGCTGCAAACAAATAGAAAAGGTCCCAAATGAATAGTTCTTAAGAAAATCAAACACAAATATACGTATAAGTATTGCTTCTATCGAGACTTACCAGTATGACTAACGCCGCATGTTCATAATTCCTAAGAGTTACACTGGATTTTTCGTGTTTCTGCGCTTTGATCTTTTGATTTTTAAGCTTAAGCAGAACGTCTTTCGCTATCCTGGTTTACACCGCAGATATTCTTTTTGTTACATTCTTATACATGATAATTCTTTTACGCTAAGTTTAAAAAAATCAAAGATCAACCATCAGTTTAAGCTAAGCAAAGAGAGGTAGTACAGAAAGATATATAGATACCAACCTAGCTGAGTTTTCAAGATAATTCTTTGCTTTTTCTAATTTGGATAGAGCTTCACTCTTATCAGTTCTTCTCATCTGACTAGCCTGGAGCATAAATGTCTTTGCGATGTGCAGAAAGTTTCCACCTATCTATCAATCCCGGAGAGGACAGAAGATGAATACTCACTCTATATCCAATATACAGATGAACTTTTTAAACAAGAGAGTGAACCTGGATATGTCCTTCTGGAAGTAATTTTTTTTGGGCATTGAGACACCTAACAGGAAAATCATCATAGAGTTAGTTATATACATTTCAGAATCGTCATATTACTCTGATAACTCAATTAAGAGTTTATGAAATCACTTTTCAAAAAGTTCTAGAGCTTCTCCCAGCTGCCCAGATAATCGTAAAGTGAGAGCTAATGCTTCAGCTGCAGTTATTGCCTCCATTGAGTTCCATCCCTGTCATAGATTTTAGCCATTAAGAACTATAAACTAGAATCATAAAAACACAGCTAAAAATGATAAGAGATTTTATACCAATGTTGTTTAGCATAGTTTTGACTACTGGATTGCTACTAGCTACATCTATGTAAGTGATCTCCTCAACTTATGGTTGATGCGTAATAAGCAGTTCAAAAGTATAACTAAGCGCGTTTTAACTACAAAACTATCTTCCCAATTATCGACCTCTCTAACTGCACAATATCTGAAACATTTAAACTTGCCCATTCCACCATGCAGATATTAGGAAGCTAGAACATATTCCTTCAGTACTAGATTAGAGTGTTGGAATTTGCAAGGACAAAAGAAGGATACAGCAAAACTGAAGGATTGCAAGGTGTTAAATTGTTGGAAGAGACTCTTAAAAGAGACAGCTAAAAGAAAGTTAAATAAGAAAAACCCACACCTTTGATAATTCCATCATGTGCAATAATTTCCTTTGAAGCTTTTCAGCCTCGGCTAGATGATTGGATCGTATATAAATCTGAAACAACAAACGAGAATGTAAACTAACAGAATTTCAAAACCAAATAACAGAACAAAAGAGATGTTGAGAATTGTGAGTTGTATAACCAAAATTTTTTTTCGGTTTTTATCCGGAATGGATCTGGTTTAGTTTATGCTGTATAAAAATAGAAGGCGACATCCAAATTACAAGCGTAGTTTAAGGCAAGAAAACCTGTGAAAGATATCTCAGTCTCCTGATATATGTCATGGACTCTCCTTGACCACCTTCCTACATCACAAAACCAAAAATACAATAAAGAAACATCCAATTGACAAATCAAACGTCAAGATGGCACATATATCAGTTATCATTAAGATAGCGACATGCCTCAAGTATTTTAAGAGAATCCAGAATAAGAGCTTCCGCATCTGTATCTTTTCCTTGCATGTGTAATACCTGTCGATTATCGGATCATATGTTTGAAAGAAATTGAAAATGATAGATTCAAATCACACTTCATGAGAGCATGGACATGTCATATTAGATGCATTTTATCACATGTCTGACTGGGCGAGAGGCTATTATAAAGTTCAGGGGGACAATATGATATGCAAGAATCTTTAGAAAAGAAGTGTACCATTCATTACAAGTTTAAATAGCTCATGAAGATTAACAAAATCAAGAAAAATGAAACATGAGAGTACCGTTCCAAGATGATACATTGTCTCTGCATAATCCGGATGATTATACCCCAGGACTCGTCCTTTCAACTATATGGGAATCAAAAGAAACGATAAGAAGAGAACTACATACTAACAATTGCTAAGTGTGAATTGAAAATAAATAAAGATTAATCACCACATCCATACCTTTAAAGCACGCTGCACAGGGAGAGATCAGCAAAAACATTAAGAATAAATTGTTAGCATCACAGAATGTAAATATTTATCATTCAAATTTGGTGGCAGCATATCAATAGATTAAAGATAATATAAAAACAGGCAAACAACAAGAATTAACAAGCAGAAAAGTACATTTTCTGTGGAATGTGAATATTGTAATCTCATGGTCAATTTAGGATCCACCTTTCAGAAAGAAAAAAAAAAAAAGGTAAAAACACACAAATTTAAGATCTAAACTTTATTTGGACCAATTTTGTGATTCTAGCATCTAGACTTTGATATGTAACATCCCGTTTTATCATGACAACTTCAGTTGCGTATACATAGCCAGCAACATTCATGACTCCATTCATCAAAAAAAATTATGTAAGAAAGAACAGCAAACACAAACCTCCTAATCTCCAATACCAACACTACAGCCACCCAGATAGCCTAGAAAGGGACTATTCATGACCAATCCATATTTGGTGCCTTGTTTTACAAAACAGTAATTGTGATTACCTCATAGCAGGCACAAGCTTTCTCAAGTTTTCGCTGGACAAGATAGAGTTGTCCAAGGTTGTGGAGAGTAGCACCAACACTGCATTGTTAAGAATATGGTTGAATGAATGAAGGAACATAATAAGGGTGTCAAATCCGTCACTAAAAATGTATAAAATATAACACAATTCCTGATATTTCCAAACACCGCATGACTTTCAATCTAGCCAGTGGGATTTTCATAAAGATCACTAAGAAGGCCAAACAAAAAATGAACGTAAAGACTTTTAGGGATTTTAAAATTTTCATGTCAGGGAGAGGCATAAAGGGAAAAGTAAGCAATCTAACAGGGGCATATAACTAAAATGTACCAGAAAACTCAGCCATTTTCCAGAAATGTGATGGGTTCTCATATAAACAATGAGATTGATGATAAATATATGAAGTTTCAGAACAATAGTACTAGTCAGGTAGCTTCAAAACTTAAAAGTAAGACTTTACAATATGTGTGCTGAAGTTCAAGCGAATGACAATAATTTAATTAAGTATCAACTCAAAAGATAATAATGATTTCTCACCGCACATCTTCAGGACCATAGAAATCCTCTAAGATACTAACAGCTTCCAAGTATAAGGGCTCTGCTTTGTCGAATTCTTTCTTGACTCTATATAACTCTGCCTTACATAGAGGAAGGAACAGATAGAGCAATAAGTCTAAGCAAACAAGATATAACGTGTTAAAAAGCAGAGAACTATAAGAATGAACATTTTGGGAAGAGATGACTCTCCCAAATAAGAATGGAACTTCTCAGAAAGAAATTGATAATGAAACCATTGTGCTAAAATACATATATCAACATACAGAGAAATTGTAAATTAACAAGGATATGTCTATATTCCTCAGCCAGAAAATAGTAAAACTGTTAAACACTTATCCTTAGAGGACCATACTCAAGATGCTGGTATGAAATGAACAAGCAACAAGCACTATGATCCAAAGAACTAAACATAGAAACTATAAAAGCTGAATAAAGCCCACAGAGACCAACCAGATTGTTGCAAGCAGATGCAACATGTGGATCCTTCTCTCCAAAACCTTCCTTAGCTTCCTGTATTGCCGAACCGAAAAGCCTCTCAGCTGGCTCCAGTTTCCCCTATAAAAAAGAACAAATTATCTAGCAGCACAACCTATACCTTGTTCAAAGTAAAAGAAAAAAAAAACACATATTAAGCTTCATTTATCTCAAACATCAACCTGAAAGAAATAATCTCTTCCACTATCAGTAAACACCCTCCACTTAGATGTATGTATATTCGATACAACGGAACCGTCCTCAATTTTTTCTAGCCCACTCTCATCCATAATATCTCCAGATTTTGACTTCATAGACTCATCCTCTGCCAATACAGTGTTCCCACAAAACCCAAGGATTGCTAGGAACCATATCAAATACAAACACAAGAGTTATAAATTAGAATCATAACGTCACAAAGACATCAACATTGAGCATATATACACACCAGCTTGACCAGAAAAGATAATCCAAAGCCGCGGTTCCAAGAGATTCAAATTCGTTCTATGTCCTCCATAATCATTCTGATATGAAATCCGTGGCTTCCCTGCAATGGAATCGGTGAATTCTTAAGACTATCGAAGATCCAAGTCGAATTATTGCAGGAAAAATGGTCTAAAGAGTTACCGGAGAGTGAATTAGCGAAAGTGGTGCAGATCGGATTCCGGGAAGAAGAAAAGGAACGTGAAGTCCGATGAGTTCCTCTGAGAAGAGTCGACAAAATTCGAAGCAGAGACATTTGGGTTTTTCTTCTTCACTTTTTGTTAGACGCGAAGAATCCTTAAACCCTTGAGAATATAGTGAAGTTGCGCACCAGGTGTTCGACGAAATCATTGGTTAATAGAATTTGCATCTTGGTTTGGTTCTTCAATGGTCCAAATTAACCTGAACCGGAATAACTAAAATGGATTTAACTTGTTTTATATCATGAATTTTAATAAAATATTAATCCAAGCTCAAATGGCATTTGACAAATGCTCAATATCCATTCTCATCTAAACAGATGTTGATTTCATTCATATTAAGAGAAATATACCAAACAATGGGATATTTCATTACTTTCTTTAGTTTATGGAGATAGATTTGAATTTTATTGCTCTTTTACTTGTTTTTTTTTTTAATTTTATTTTTGTACGCTGATGATGCTAAATGAAATTTATGGCATTTCTTTGTCGTGTTCTAAAAAGGATCAAGAATGATGAAACTACAAAAAAAAAAATTATAAATTCCTCGAAAGAGCATTAATGTGATAAAAGGTTGGAGGAGCCCTATTTGTTTCATCATTTTAGATTTGCATTGAAATGGTCCTTTTAGATGATTCATTTGGATGATGCATTTGGATGATGCATTTGAATGATGTTTGTTTTAATATTTGTTATTTCATTCAAATGGATCTTTTTTTGTTTGATCATTTTGTAATTCATCCTAAATCTCATATAGACCAAAATGACTAAAATACCCATGCTTTCATTTTGACAAATAATCACATATAAAAACTAAATAAATTATTATTTTAACATATAAAAATAAATTTTATTTATAGTTATTAAAATATATACAAAATAATTATACAAGTTTGGCCGGAAAACATGATTTTGCGGGTTTTGGCAAAAGATATAATTTTTCTGTTTCGGCGGAAAAATATGTTTTTAGTGATTATTAACGAAAAAATTAATATGATAAGAAATATGATTTGCCGTTGGCGGAAAATATAACTTTGCAGTTTTGGGGGAAAATATGATTTTACGGTTTTGGCGGGAAAATATGATTTTATGGTTTTGGCTGAAAAATGTAATTTTGCAGATTTGGAGGAAAACATGGTTTTGCGGTTTTGGTGGAAAAACATAATTTTGCAGTTTTGGCGGGAAAATATGATTTTACGGTTTTTTCGGAGAAAAATGATTTTATGGTTTTGGCTGAAAAATGTAATTTTGCAGTTTTGGCGGGAATATATGATTTTACAGTTTTGGTGGAATAGCGCTTTCTCTAATTTTACATCAAAAATTATGATTTTACGGTTTTTGGCAGAAAAACGCAATTCCACGATTTTACGATTTTGACGTAAAATAATAATCCGTGATTTCATGATTTTTAGAGTATTTTTGGTTCCAATATGTAATTTTAAAAATATTAAATAAGAAATCTATAGAAAATAATATTATTTAAAATATGATTGTATAAGAGGATATATCTGTCTTTTGTTCTTTTTGAATGAATCATCTACATCCAAATGGTTCAATCAAGTTCATCCAAATGAATTTCATAAATTTGCCTAAATTTAGAAACTCATTCAGATGGATCATCTAGATGATCCATCCCAATGCTTATTAAATTGTCAAAAACAAACATCATTTTTCATCTCCATCTAGATGGATCATTTGGATGGAAATCAAACAGGACCTAAATTACCACGAAAGATTTTAGTCAATTAAAGACAATAATCAGCATAGTTTTAAGTCTCTCCCAAACAAAAGAAGCCAAAGGATCACAGAAAGTCAAACCTGCAAAAAAAAAATGCATACACATAAGATTAACATTCATATTTTACAACTTCGGTAATGGATAATGAAATAAATATTTAGGAGTTAACATACCGCCATATGAACAAACTCTGCACCAAGTCGAGTTTACGACGAATGTATACACATCCGCCGTTTTTACCCCAACATGAACCAAACGAGTCTTGGCATTCCCAGCACTGAACGCCATCAATCGTCACCGGACTAAGCACCAAGAGGAAGTGGCCATAACCTAATAGGTTTGCAGTTGCAATCTCATCCGCAGTGGGTTGGTATATTCCTCCCTGTGAAAAACATTAGAGTAAATATTCTCTCTAATATTTTAAATAATTCAATTTTGTTTCAAAATACCTTTCCAGTTAGAGTTGGGTAGCTCTCAGTCCATGGAACTCTGATGGTTACTCGTGCAATTTCAGTGATCTTCAAAAATATCACTAGCAAACTCCTCACCATATTGAGCTACATAGTCTTTCCAGGTCCTCTGGACATCGGGATGTTAATTAAAAAACACACCACATGAGTGACAAGACATGCACTAAATAAAAAACAAAACATGAGTGACAAACAAGAATATAATACTATTGAATTTTAATTACCTCCGGTGTTTGTTGTCCTGGGCGGTCAAGGGCATATGTCAATGGACAGACAGAATCTAGAACAGTGCCACGTTTGGTGAGATAATATTTTGCAAAATAGCTACCATGAATCGAACCTTCGTACTCCCGGTAACGTCTCAGCAGCATATTGATTAGCTCTTGAATAGAGAGGTGCTCATCCAGACGAATCTTTCCCGCCAACAATTGGTGTATCAAAGCCACCGCCCAACACACGTCACATTGTTGGCACGCGTATGGCGGAAGGATATGAGGAGATTTAGTCCTCCAAGTTGCCATAGGAATCAAAATGATCAAGATAAAAGTGAATAAAAACAAGATACATTGCTTAGAATCAGATATCAGATGGGTACATAAAGACGTCTCATTTAAGATCAAGATAAAAGTCAATAAGAATAAGATACATTACTTAGAATCAGATATCAGATGGGTACATAAGACGTTTCATTTGACTTCTTATTAGCACTAGGCGTTCGGTTTTCTCGAGTTAATCGGTTCGGTTTATTCAGTTTTTCAATTTTTCAGTTAGCTAAAAAACCTATTGAATTAGACTGGTTCGGTTATCTGCTTTAGAATGTGTTCCGAATTTAACCGAATGCTTTTCTATAAATAAACCGAATTAACCCAAAATACAAATAATGGGCCCAAAGCCCATTAACAATTAGGGTTTACCATGAAGTGCTTGACGGCGAGGCTGCGACCGTTGGATACTTGGATCTCCTTGTCCGATGAGGCTTCCCACGAGATCTGCCAAAATAGATAACAATGCAACACTTCAAAACTGGAAAATTTCAGTTCTAAATTTCATGCTTCTAAATTATCATAGAAAGAAATATTGTTGATGGAGTTGTTTTTAGGGTTTAATAAATAAATATGTACTTAGATTTCATCGCATGAGCTTCGTCTTGACTCTTGAGCAAAACTACGAAGGAAATAGCATATGTCTGTTTGCAAATCTCAATCTACAAGATCCACGTCGACTTCATTTCCAAATCTGAATCTCAATTTTTTTTTTTTTTTTTTTTCCGTTTTACGGGAAGCATGATCCGTTCGTGGTAAGAATCTGAGCTTCTCACGACTAGATTCACTGGCCTAGTTGCAATTGGGTCATGTGACCGTTAAGTTGGAGTTTTTGGGCTATCTTACTTTCAAGTGAGGATATATAAACATTTCAAGCATAGGTGCACCCAAAAAAAAAAAAAAAAACATTTAAAGCATCATTTAAGAATCTCTAGATCATTTCTCATTGTCAATTTGTCATGTAATGTGGAATTGTATTATCTACGGAAGATCGTAGAACTAATGGGCAGTTGTGTTTCCCAAGAGAGAGAATTCTATTCGGTAGTCTTCTTATTCAGCTTCTTCATAATTTGAAGCATGGAGGGTGGAGCACCACCTAAAAATAAACCACGAAATGAATTATTGAGAGGTTTTACTCACTACAAGAAAAATCTACATTATTAGCATGAGAGAAGAGCTATAATATGTCATTAATAGCGTTTTCATAAACGCTGTTTCTGCCCCAGTTATTATAGACCCCCACATACGATAGCGGTTGTCGATATGCTATGAAATGTCGATCTATTATAGTGCTAATCGAATGCTATTATATACTTTATTGTAACACACATTTAATGTTGTATTATATAGTATTGTAGCATTTGTTTTTTGTTTTATAAATTTAATTTGATTTATATATAATTTGTATATTTGATCCCTGTTTTGCAATATTTATTCAATTGGATTTATATAATTTTTTTTTTATTGCATAAATTATCAAAAACATTCATTATACAAAACATACATAACCTGTATTACATACAATAAAATAACTAATCTTCATAGCCTAAAGTCTTGGATCATACAAAAGAATAAGCCTTTGTTGTAGAAGCTTTCTTACTTGTAGCGAAGCTACTCTTTTCAGTTGCTCATTTTGCCTTTCCTGATTCGTCAATGACACCTGAAATAACTTACACGAACAAACTAGTTTGCAGAATAAACTCAAAAAATAAGATTAGTTTGCAGAATAAGCTCACATTAGATAAAAACAAGACAAAAAAAATAGACCTACAAAACTCTACAATATAGACATGTATCCCTAACCACCTAATCTTCATAAGTCTAACACTCACAAAGTTCTCTCTTTTATGACGTTCACATCAGAAGTATCAATTACCAAGAAACTAAAAGATCAAAAGCTGAGTTGCAGAGTAAGGAATGTAGAAACATCGAAAAGTATGGTACCATTTGGCACGAGCAGTGACCATGACGGCCATGGGCTGTGCCTCTCTACATGACCCTTCAGTGGCAATCTTTTGAAGGCCGAACAACTCCATCTTAGCTTCAGCACCAATTTCTTCCACTTTCCCGGATTCTTACAAAAGTTTTCCAGCAGCTGCAAAGGCTTTCTCAAGTTCACTCCTCTCAATTCCTTCCCAATCATCATCGTCTTCTTCAATAGTCAACTCTGTTTTCTCTTCATTCTCTGCTTCAGTTTCACTCTCCTCCACCGTATTACTACTCTCTTCAATCCTAAGCTCCTCAGATTCAGCGACTACGACATCTCTACCACCTTCTTTCCTTTCCGTCGCTGTATTACTACTCTCTTCAACCCTAAGCTCCTCAGATTTAAACTGGAGAACTATGAAGCAGAGATATATACACCATTGTGTTATACCAAAAATGAACATGAAATAAAAGTCATGTTCGCAAGTGGAGTTGCAGTAAAACAAATTAAACACAATTGTATCATACTCAGATCTTAAATTGCATTAGATAAAGAAAAACATAAGCAATCACCTCCAATTCAGCTTCAAGCTCCTCTTCTCATGTCCAGTTGCAATGGGCATTACATCCTCTAACTTCTTCTCTACAGGAGTCTCTACTCCAAAATGCGAGTCCATGTGAGCCTTAACTTATTGCCGATGCTGAAGAAAATAAGGGAATCCAAAGAAGAGAAGAAGACAGAAGCTGCAGCAAATAAGGACAACGAAACCCAAGAATCTGAAGAGAGAAGACACAAACAGAATTTCAAATGCTTGACTCCAAATACAACATATACAACTTTCTCTTTAGTGTATGCGGTTCCCTTCACATATTCCCATCAGGAAATCATATGAAAGGAAAAACCTCTTAACACTAAACCAACATTCTGATTCAAAAAATCAAACGCAAAGAGAAGAAAATTCAAAAGAGAAAACGCAGTGAGCTTATGTTAAACACGTTCCATAACACAATTAAGAATCTTTGGATCCAGAAAAACTCAATTGAGGCGTTACATGAGAAACCAAAACACATTCCCTGCTCATACACAATCTTTCATAATTAAGAGTACCTTTTGGTTTTTAAGCCTCCAATTTCCAAATTTTTTTAAGAAAACTAAAAACCCTAAAGTAACCAATTGAGATAGATTACCATTTTGAAAGGAGTATGAAGGCAAAGAAGAAGAAGAGTCATTGAATTTGTGCTTCTCGAAGTAATCCCTCTGGCGGAGTTAGTTAACCAAGAGCTTCGTCATTGGTTTCAAGGAGAAGCCATGCCGTTTCACTGCAAAACCGACGAGCACCGAAGAAAAAGAGAGGAAGCGATGATTGGAGTTGACCGCCATTGGAGGAGAAGCTAAGCTCTCGTTCGTCACAAATCGAAGAAAGAGAGGGAGATCTGAGATCGGAGAGAGAAGTGGGAAGATTGAATGGTGGAGGAGTAGATCGAAGATAAAGAGGCTGAGGCTGAAGGGTAATGACGGAATCGACGCGAATTGAGGCCGGCGACGAGCTTCATGGTGGAGTCGGAGTCGAAAAGGAAGAGACCTAGCTTTTGATTTGGGAGATTTTTTTTTTTTGTAAATATTTGTTAGGTTTTGTCGTGAATAGAAGGAAAGTTTTGTTGGCTTAAAATGTTTTGGATCTGAAACATATGGAGGTTAAGTGAATTTTTTCGTCTAAGTATCGGCGGAATAAGTGATTTCATATTCCCGCTTAGTGATTTTTTATCCTAGCGTTTTCTCGGTGCTATGATATAGTAATCAAAATAAAAAAAATAATCTTTCATAGCAGTTACGAAAAATGAGCTATGCTTAGATGCTATCAATGTGAATATTTCTTGTAGTGACTTTGTTACCAAAGAATCAATGGGCAAAGTCATATACTGGATGTTGGGAAATTTCTTTTGGAGGCGCTTGGCGGCGTGACACAGCCAACTATAATGTTCCATCCTCCCACGTCAAATGATAGCTTTCCTGTAAAAAAAACTCATCATCGCCTTTCCAGGATCAATGTAGTCTCTAGTAAACGGTATCTCCTTAGCGAATACACGCCATCCTCCCTCGACGGCACTTCCACTAAGTTTCAACTGTTGGTTGATATTTACATGTTTATTTATATAAACATTATATTTATGTAAATACCCCTCTACTTGTGAAAATAACATCACGTCTCTTTGAACGTATGTGACTATTAGAAAAGAAACGATTGATCTAAGAGAAGCATCTCTTAGATCAAGCACCGCTTGGATTAATATTTAAAGAGATGTCACGATACAGAGAAAGGGAGAGTGAGAGACGCACAAGATAGAGAGAGGGAAGAACAATACAGAGAGATTAAGGAGAGACAAAGATTGAGATTGATTCTAATCTTCTCCTTCTCCAAATCAATTTCTGAGAATCTCAAAGTAGATTTGCTAGGGTCTCTGTAGAGGTGTGAATACAGAGATCGATTGTTGTATCCTGCAAGATAGACGCCAACAAGAAAGCTACTAACACCACCGTAGGGGCGAAATTCTGTCTTAGGAGATTGCTTATTGCAAGCCTCAATCAAACCAAAACTTTGTTCTTACGTTGAAGCAGAGAAGAGATCGACGGTGTACATAATCGTGTACGTATTTCAGGTTTTAGTTCTCTACTTGTTACTTATTTAATTAAGTGTATGTATTGTGTGTACGTATTGTGATCTGCATCTATATTCCTGAGACAACAAAGGTCCAACATTCTAAGACATAAATTTACATTCTCTCTCTTTGTTGTCTTGAATTGATAGATGGATTAATCTGGTGGGAATGTGAAAAATCACATTGAGAAGCCTTTTGTTTTCAAAGGAATTGATTTCAAAAGATGGCAGCAAAAGATGATGTTTTATCTTACGACTTTGAATCTGGCACAATGCTTGACTTCTGAGGAACCGGAATTACCTGTTGAAGGAGACATTCCGGATGACGTCATGAAAGCATCAGAGGCATGGTCACAGAATGAGTTTTTGTGCAAAAACTACATTCTTAATGCCCTGGATGATTCTCTCTATGATGTTTATCAAATATTCCAAACTCCAAAAGAGTTGTGGGAATCGTTAGAGAAGAAATACAAGTCAGAAGTGGCAAGTGTTAAGAAATTCATCGTTGGAAAATTCTTGAATTTCAAGATGAGTGACACCATCTCTGTGGCGAAACAAGTGGAAGAAATCCAGATTTTTGCTCATGAATTTAAAGATGAAGATATGGGGCTGAATGAGGCTTTTCTCGTTGCTTCGATCATTGAAAAATTGCCTCCAACATGGAAGGATTTCAAGATCTATCTAAAGCATCTTCATGAAGACATGAGTCTTGAGCAATTAATTCTCAAACTTCGTGTCGAAGAGGAGAATTGTAAGAATGAGAAATCTGAGTTTTCTTCTATGGAAGCAAAGGCCAATGTAATTGAGGGAAACAGTTCCAAATTCAAAGGCTTCAAGAGGAACAAGAACGGTAAGAAACCGTTCATTCCACCAAAGGGTTCTAACTTCAAGAACAAGCCACAAGGCGCTTGTGGGGTGTGTGGAAAGCCTGGACATAGGGCCAAGGATTGCCGCCATAAGAAGGAAGGGACATCGGTTGGAGACGCAAGTAATGCGAATCTTGTCGAAAATCAGTTTGTTACGGTCGTTTCCGAAGCAAACATGATGACAAACTCCAATGATTGGTGGGTTGACACTGGTGCTACAAAGCATGTGTGTTCTGATGCGAGTATGTTCTCTATGTACGTACATGGCTCTGAGGGAGAAAAGCTATACATGGGAAACGCAAGTACCGCGAAGATAGAAGGGAAAGGTAAAGTGGTCTTAAAACTCTAAAGCCCAAAAGCCCACTAAGTACAATATAGGCCGTCATAAGGAGAATCTCAAAGAACATGGACATGGGCCTTCTAGGATATGGATTAGGCCCACTACATCTGGGAAAGAACTTGCACTGATGAACGTGCTCCATGTTCCTGAGATTCGAAAGAATCTGATTTCGGGTTCCCTTCTTAGCAACAAAGGATTCAAGATGGTATTTGAATCTGATAAGGTTGTACTCACTAAAGGTGGGATGTATGTGGGAAAAGGCTACTTATGTGATGGTCTTTTCAAACTAAATGTTGTACCAATCGTTAATAAAAACGTAGGCAATAGCGCTACTTCTGTTTATTTGCTTGATTCAAATGACTTATGGCATGCAAGATTGGGACATGTCAATTATCATTCTTTGAATAGAATGATGAATTTAGGATTGTTACCGAAGAACAATCTTAAGAATCTTGAAAGAAGCAAATGTGAAGTTTGTGTAGAATCAAAATATTCACGGCATTCTTACAAATATGTGGAGAAGTCAAATGTATTATTTGGTTTAATACATAGTGACTTGTGTGATTTTCAATCAACTCCAACTCGTGGAGGAAAGAATTATTATATTTCTTTCATTGATGATTACAGTAAGTTTTGCCAAATCTATTTGATTAAGACTAAAGATGACTCATCTTAGATGAGGCTTTGGATATGTTTAAGAAATTCAAAGCTGAAGTTGAAAATCAATTAGATAAGAGAATAAAGATTCTTCGATCAGATCGTGGTGGAGAATACTTGTCGAATGAATTCTCTGATTTTTGTTCTACACATGGAATCATTCATCAAACTACGACACCTTATACTCCAATGCAAAACGGAGTTGCCGAGAGGAAGAATAGAACTCTTAAAGAGATGATGAATTCTATGTTAAACGATTCGGGTGCACCATCTAACTTATGGGGTGAAGCCATTCTCACGGCTAATTCAATCTTGAATAAGATTCCTCATAAGAAGTGTGATAAAACTCCATATGAGATGTGGAAAGATAAGACTCCTTCATATAAAAATATGAAAGTGTGGGGTTGTCTTGCTAAGGTTCAAGTACCTTTACCAAAATGAACTATTATAGGACCAAAAACGGTGGATTGCGTTTACATCGGTCCTGCGGAGAATAGTGCAGCTTATAGATTTATAGTTTATAAATCTGATAATTCTGAGGTAAAGGTAAATACGATCATTGAATCAAATGAAGCTGAGTTCTTTGAAGATGTATTTCCATACAAAGAGCCTGGAAAACCATGTACCAAACGGGTACGTGATGACAATGATCGTGTACGTATTCAAGAAGAGGAATATGAACCAAGAAGAAGTAAAAGAGCAAGAGTTGCTAAAGATTTTGGCACAGACTTTATGACGTATTTGAGTGAATATGAACCTCAAACGTATAAGGCTGCAATGGAATCATTGGAAGCATCTTATTGGAAAGAGACTATTCAAAGTAAAGTTGACTCCATTTTGAGTAATCATACATGGGAATTGGTTGATTTACCACCTGGTAATAAACTAATTGGACATAAATGAATATTCACAAAGAAGTTGAGACCGGATGGTACGATTGAGAAATATAAAGCAAGACTAGTGGCAAAAGGATTTCGTCAAAAGGAAGGTCTTGATTTCTTTGATACCTATTCACCGGTGACGAGAATCACTTCGATTAGATTCCTAATTGCAGTTTCGGCCATATATGATCTAGAGATTCATCAAATGGATGTTAAAACAG